AATGTAGTGCTAGTCATGAACTATCATAAGTAAAGCTAAAGGGGATTTTGCCAGTCCCTGCTGATCTTAGAGCTGAATCAGTCGAGATCAGTTTGCTTTTAAAAATTAGGGAATGTGATTCACCTGTTGCACTGTCTCTGAAGACCTGTTTCTCAGGACTCCTCAACGCTTATGCTTACCCCTTACTTCTACTAGTGGAGCTCGGGAGTCCTTACCACACCCAGTTCCCAGTTGTTGGGGTGGTGGACAGAGAATTTTCCTTTGGAGCGTTGAGTTTTCTCCACTCTCGGAGAAGAAGGCGAATTCTCCTTGCCCACTTGGTGGGGGAGTAAAGACAACTGTTTGTAAATCTAGACTGGATGAGTTCTGGACTTTGGTGGAGTATGGTATATGATCCTCTTGATCCAGACCTGGGATGTTGCCTTTTGGATTTCATCAGGTTGATCAGAAGGATTTTTTTCACTTTGGTGTTGCTTTCTTTCTTTCATAAATCCTGTGGTTTGAAATGCATCATTCTGTGGTTATTGGTAGGGATCCTATCACAAAGATATATATATATATCTGCAGTCCATCTGCCCTGGCCACCAACGTGGGATATGGGTACCATGACCTCTTAAATCCAACCTGAGTTGTGGAATCTCGGCTGTTTAGTTGGGGTTGGATCATTATACTTGTATTATATTCCACCCTTTTCAATTTCTGTAGTGCTGAGTGAAGAGCATACCTGTTCTGGATGTAGTGCGGTGTTCCCCACTTTGATACCATATCTCGTGGTACATATTTGTTCTCCGCAGACGCTTTCTGTATGATCTCTGTCCTCACCAGCCCCTTCACCTTCTCAATGTGGAATTCCAGCAATTAGTATCAGCAGAGGTATGTATGTTTTGAATGTTATCATTTTCCTAAACTGAAAATGTATTTCCAAACATACTTACCTCCGCTGACATTCTCCCTCCCTTCCTCCCCACTAAGACCAGAGGTGAGTCGTGAAAAAGTGATTTTATTGCTTACAGTGCTTATATACAGTACCTGCATAGAGGGCGTGTGAGAGCCGGCACAAAATTTTGCAAATTAGATATTGCCGAGGGCAGTCGAGTTGGGTATATAAAGACTGGAGCAAGCGAACACAACATTAGACGGCAAAGATGAAGATCGAGAAATAGCTATTAATGTCAGCAGAGTTAAGTATGTTTGGAAATACATTTTAAGTTTAGGAAAAATGATAACTTTTGATATTAAATGATACACATTTGACTTAATGTCACGATGATCTTATAGAATCTTTTTCCCCTCAGGGTCACCCCTGAAAAATTATTTCTAAGTCTTACAGCAAGTCCAGCAGACTTGCCAAGGGCTGAACATCTTGGAGTGATGTTATCACTTGACATAAACTATTTATATGAAGTTGCTGCAGATCTACAGCTAGCTAATGGCCAGTTTGCCCAAGCTGTTCGTCTGTATCAGCTTTCAAAGGTAAAGAGTTATAATTTCCCGTGTATAGAAGCCTTTACTTGAAATTCTGTAGAATATCAATAGTATAGAGTGATGATATTTCTGCTGTAATTTCTACAGCTTTGAGGAAATATACATGGAATGAAGTAATTAGGTGAATTCCATTACAAGCTGTTTGCATAAACTCTAGTTTTTTAAGTTTGTTACTTTATATACAGTAATGAAATACTTTTGGAAATGTGAAACCAATACACATGCAGGAAGCACAAGCAGTGAATAATGTTAACAGTAGGTGAATTTATTAATGATACTAAACATTATTACGTACAAAAGGGAACAAGTTGTATAATGCATTAATATTTATTACGTTACTACACGAGTCCTTTCCTTTATACAAGTCGTTTCATGCTACCATAAGGTTTATCAATCTACAGTCGTGGAATATTTTTCCCAATGTATCGTATTACTCCATATAATTCATTCAAGTTGTTTGGTCACATTTTCACCCTCTCAGTTTTTACATTAGCCCATACAGTCTCTAGAATGTTTGAATCAGGACCTTGTTCAAGCCAAGTCAAAGTTTTGAAATTTCCATATGTAGATATTGTTTAACAACATTTTTTTTATGCATGGGATAATTTTCTTTGCTGGAAGAGGTCTTGTTCATTTCTCTGAATGCTGATTTCAATCATTTTTCGGTTGATGACCTGTTCATAGCACTTATTTTTGAACAGTTACGTGTCCATTGAGATCTTTTCATGATAACATGTATCTTACTCTTCTTGAGGTATAATTCCCTACTATATATATATATACAGCAAGTTTGTGGTAAGTTATATCTTGCATAGAATATACCGTGAAATACTTAGCATAATTTTGAAGATTTTTTCTTTAATTTTATAGCATGTTTATCTGTAAAAGGTAAAATACAGTAAATTAGTTTTTGCACAGTTACTAATTTTAGAAGTGTACAAAGCTTTTAAATATTTCTTAATAGATGTAAGGGAAAACTATTTTTCTGTAAAACAACCTTTATATTTTACACTTTTCATAAAAAACTAACTTTATTATAAGCCTGGTGTATTAAATTATAAATTATTTTTATATTCAAATGGTAATAAAACTATTAAAATGAAAAAAAACTGCTCAGTATATGTTGGTTTATGGTAACACTTAGTCTCAAAATGCTTACAGTTTGTTCTCCAGTCATAAATTTAATGTTGACTGTTCATGTGATTCTGATGTTGACTGTTCAAGTGATTCTGAAATTCATAAATATCAAATATAAATGCCGAAAATGTGTCATCAACATATCTTCTCTAACAAAGATTTAAACTCTACAGGACAATTTTCAAATCACCTTTTTTTCTTGTGCTAACTTAAATAAAAATTAGCTAAACATGAGGTGACCTTTCAACCTATACACCTTCCATTAGCTAGTTCATAATGACAACTATTAAGAAAGAAAATAGATTCTTTGGTTGCAAATTCCAGTAATTTAATGAAACCAGGTTTTGTTATACCCCGAATGACATCCAAGTTGTGGAAAATTAAATTATTACTCAACTCTATTACGTCCTCTAATGTTAAATTTGAATATCAAGACTCAACGTCTAAACTAACAAAATAGACAGATTTGTCAAAAACTAATTTAGAGACATCTTTATAGAATTCAACTATTTGTTACCGTAAGTTCATTAGTTAGATGAGGTTAAAGAAGCCCCACCAAAAGTCCCTGCTAATTTATACTTGGAAGTACCTATACATGACCGTTCACCCCTATATGACAGTTTAATTTGTGTACTTAGGTAACTCTTAGTAATTCTTAAACTGGATAAAAGTAATGGTATAGTAATTTTGAATAAGAAAGATAATGTAGAAAAAGCCTTTAAAGACTATGTACAAAAATCTTTAACTATTTTAAGAATAATACAAAATTTAAGAACTTAGAACCTGATCCCACAGTTTCAAAAGAGACATTTACAAAAGTATCTGTTAAACATTAAGAAAGAAGAGTTAGTATCTGAAACTATGGAATATCTTGTATACTAAAAAAAAAAAAAAGATATATTTTTCGCTATAAAACACCTTAGTTCACATATTTTTTTTTACTTTCTAAGAGTCAAAACTATAATATCCCGAAAGCACTAAACCTGAAACTTCAGTAACTTATCAAATGAAACATTATTTTGTTCACTTACCAGTATATATTTAAATTTTGTATTAAATGTTCAAAATTTACAAATTATTCCAAAGAATCTAATTTTTTTTACGAGTGACTGGAAACCTTAAGCCTTCAGATAGTACCTTTTCTTCCACCTCTGTTGACTGATAATCTGAAAGATTATAAACAACATCTGTAGAGGCTTCTAAAGAAAGTAGGCTTTTCACGTTTTTACCTATATAACCTTTTAATTTGTTTTAATCTCAATTTATTTTAAGTTATACTTTGGGATAGGTTCATTATGAAATAACAGGAGTGAAAATGTCACCAACTGCTTAAACATATAGTTATTCTCTCAGGACATTTTTAAAGAAAAACATAAAACTTTTTAGTCATTTGAGTCATTGTAAAAATAATTTTGTTATGAAGACTATATTGCAGTTGCAGCCTATTTATACATAATCAATCATAGAGTATGTTTTATGATATTTTGTGTAATATAAAGTACGATTTAGGAGAAAATTATGTCATGTTTTTATTTTGTTACCTTAATAAAAATCATTGATGCTTACAAATTTTAATGTGATATTAATTTATTGATATTGCTACTGTTTATTGAAAATTGATTAGTACATTTACATTTGTAATTTATCATATGGTTAAAAGGCTGGAATAACTGACTGTTTAAAGAATGCTGCTTTATGAGATTCTTGGGTTTAAAGCATGTCTGTGTTTGTCACAATTTCCACCAAAACACGTTCAGCAAAATGAGGTGTTCGGTTGTATCACATAATGTGAAAAAAGTTAATTTATAGTTTATTTAATAGTAAAGAATAATGTAATTATAAGTTACGGTGTAATGCAATGTAAGAATAGTAGCTTTACACTTGAGTTGCCAGCTGGTTGCCTTCCTTCAGGTCAGCAGTTCAAAATTAGGGATGGTGCTAGGTAGCTTTAGTAGCTTGACCTCAACTTAAAAACATATTAACAAATATAATGTCCTTGTGGCTAAAAGTCTGAACATATTTGGTGGCAACAGGATCTGAACCAGAGACCTCCCCCCCAATAAAAAAAAAATCATGCCACCCCAAATCTGAATAAATTTGTATTAATCTGAAAGAATAATGAGAAATCATAATGCAAATATTTCAATTTACTGGATAGTTTAAAATAGTAATAATTGGAAACACTAATTTCATTTAATTAATTATTTTCATGAGTTGTGACATTAGTGATTAAGCTGAACAAACTTGAATTAATCAAAAATAATTATTACAAGTCATAATGGCAGTATTTTAAAATACTTGTATAGGAGGAATAATCGTGCAACAGCAATAATCAGAAGCATTAATTTTGATTAGTTTATTATTTTCTGGGCCATTAATTGATTTAACCATAATTTCATTGAATCGGTTATTTTACACAACACTAATCAGTATTATATATGGTCTAAGGTAATCAGTTATATGGATTAATTGAAATAATTGTCCAGTTCTAATTAAGTGGGAAGTTAAAAATGATTAGGTTGACTTTAAATAGGAGGCAAAATTCAGAAGCAGTAAGAGTACAAAATTAGCTTCTTCTCTTCTGCAGCAAGGTTAATATAAACTACATAAGAGTGTTTGTTGTACGTCATAACAATGTCCTCTGATGCAAATTAATACAAGATTCAGAGAAGTGAGATTTACTCATAAAACTTCACTCTCCTTGAAAAGTTTCAAAGTTAACGTGAGCTACAAAAGTGTTTGTTTTCTTTCTTGAAAAGGGTGACAAATTCAGAAATAGTAAGAGTTTCTCAAAACTTTCTCCTGGAGAAGTGGTAAAATTAATATAGACTATATAGTAGTGTTTGTTTTTTCTTCTTTGTTACAGTGTCCTCAATTGAAAAGGGTGGCCAATTTCATTAGTTACGGCTATCTGTCGGAGCTATTGGCATATGTTCAGGTTTTGTTCACCACCACAATCACAGAAGTCCAAGCACCAGATAGAGTCCATTTTGGTAACTTAGCTGTTCATTGTTTTGTTCAACAAATTTTGGAGAAGACAGGAGAAAAATTAGCTGTTGTTCATGCTTTTAGGTAAGAAATGAACCAATTATGTAAAATGATGAATATTGAATATGCTACATTCGAGCAACGACTATAAATATAACTCATATGAGCTTTACTTTAGCACTAAATAAAAATGTTTTATTATATACCTGTTCTTTTTTGTTTATTTTTCATTGGAATTCTATGCTGTATGTAGGACTAGATGTACATCTGGAACTCCCTCCATTAATAGGCTGGGTGTGGCCTGGTGATGAGCATGCCATACTATGAATCTAGGGATCTGTGCTTCACAACCAGTTGCCACAAAACTGTGCTCTGCACTTTGGGACCAAGGGTGCATTAACTCTAAACACCTGGGAAGTGTTGATTCGATAAACCTGTTGTACTGATTGTTTTAGTGCATTGCAAATGAACTGTCTCTCTGGCAGGACAACTGTAAGTCTACAGACTTACAATGCTAAGATCCAGGATTTGATTCCCCATGTTGGACACAGCAGAGAGCTCAGTGTGGCTTTGCTCTTAAACAAATACACAATCAGAGCAAAAGAACCATCTCTCTGGCAGGACAACTGTAAGTCTACAGACTTACAATGCTAAGATCCAGGATTTGATTCCCCATGTTGGACACAGCAGATAGCCCATTGTGGCTTTGCTCCAAAGCAAATACACAATCCAATTATTCTAATCAAATAGTGAGACACAACCATCAGTCTTGTAACTCTAAGGTTCCTAGAAGGATGGATACTAAAATGAGAGTCACGGAAATAAGCTTGTATTGTTCTTCCACACATTAAAAAAAATAAATAATAAATTTTTTTAATAAACAAATTTTATTTATTTTATTTTTTTTGTAAAAATTTCAAATTAGATATATTTGCAGAAGCAACATAAACTGTAGGAAATTAAACTCAAATTTCCAGAGATAAAGTCAATCGAATAGTTCTTTTGCTCTGATTGTGTATTTGCTTTAGAGCAAAGCCACACTGGGCTATCTGCTGTGTCCAACATGGGGAATCAAATCCTGGATCTTAAGCATTGTAAGTCTGTAGACTTACACCTGTCCTGCCAGAGAGATGGTTCTTTTGCTCTGAAATACATTTTCAGTTTAGGAAAATGTTAACTTCCAATACAACATCTTACCTCTCACGAGATACCTAGAATCCCACGTTTAACTGGTGGAGGGTTGGAGAAAACATGATTCTATTTGAGGAAGTGGCCAAAGAGACACCATGGGTTGTGGAACCGAAAAATAATATATCACATCTCAGCAGAAGACAACACCACATCTGATCCAGGTATTCTTTTTGCTCTTTTATGACTGTATCATGAGCATAAAAGTCGGAAAAACATGAAGGAATCCCATGATATATATTTCCGATTAATGAGGCCCCTGGGTGTCAAGTGGCTAGGGCACGACCGACCATAGTGGTAATTCAACATCACTTCAAATTAAAACATGCCAACACAGCACACATATGCTATAACATACTCAAATAAAAAATATTCATTGTTTTGAATATCCAATAAAAGCTAGACAAAGGCTATCTGAACTACCTGTCCCTAAATTTTCAGTTGATAGACTAGAGCACCCATTACTAACTTCTGAAATAGATACTTTCCTCCAATCACATTTCCCACCCAGCCTCACCACTTATGTGGTGTAGGTCTTCTGACCAATCTCGAAGTGATTAACGAGTGCAAATCTGGAAAGGGTGCTGGTTACGATAAGAGTTGTGTCATGCTCCTATTGTTGGAGAGCTGTTGCATAATCATTTACATGCAGATATGCAAAAGTGGGAGGTGGAAGGCTATTGTTGGGCATTGAAAATTTACACTGATAGAGGGCAGTAATAATTGAGAAAAGCTATTTTGTGATAGGAGGTAAGTATCTACTGGAAATACATTTTCATTTTAGGAAAATGTTAACGTACATGAGTCGTCAGTTGTTTGACTCTTTCTCTATTTAACTGTATATTGTGGAAGGCTATTGTTGGGCATTGAAAATTTACACTGATAGAGGGCAGTACTAATTGAGAAAAGCAATTTTGTGAGAGGAGGTAAGTATCTATTGGAAATACATTTTCATTTTAGGAAAATGTTAACGTACATGAGTCGTCAGTTGTTTGACTATTTCTCTATTTAATTGTATATTGTACTTTCTTTTATTGCTGATGTTATTGTAGATTAGAGCATAAAAGCAATTTAAAGAATCCAATTTCTTGTAGGGACTTTCTGCGTGATAATATATACTATAATGAAGATGTTGCAGTCCGGCTCCTAGCTGAACAACATCTGTATAAACACCTGCACTACTGTGCCAAGGTAAAACATCTAAGTTAGTTTACAAATCCATCTGATATTTTGCAAAACTAATTATCGACATTTTGAAGTAAGTACACAAACATCAAGTCACACAAACTTGTTTATAACATTTACATGCTGTTATTAATGGCTCCTCTACAATTTATCATCAAGAGAGACTGTATTTATGTATAGGTTCGAGGTCAACAAACAAAGATGTTACAACACCTACTAAACCATGAAGAGCACTGTCTTAAGGTAGAAGAAGAAACACGTGCTCTTCTCGTCTCCAAAGGCCTAGCTGATGAGATTTTACATGGTATTAATGGTGAGTACAGAACCAGGATTATCTTGTATGTTTGCCAAAAATATTAATGAATCAATTTCGAACAATATGTCTATTGAGTTGATATACGATTGAGAGAAAGTCTCTCCCACAGTTCCAAAATTTAGTAGAGAGAAACTTTGTAACAAGTTGGTTCTTACTTAAAAAGTTCTTTAATTTACACTTAAATTTCCTTCAGCTAATATTTAAAAAAATATCATAAATTGTAACCCAAAAGGTTTGTTTCATTGTTAAACTAGTGATTACTTTAAAGTGCATTTTAAACTAAACAGTTGATATTTGTATTTAAAACACAGAGTATCCAGAAATTATGTTAACAAATTTCAATAGTATAATAGGAATACTTTTCTCCAGTGTTTATTATATATATATTTCAAAATAAGTCTGATAGAGATCATCATGAACAGCATTTCCAATGCCATCTAGCAATATTTTGAAACTCTTGTTGACCTTTGTCATGCTGCTGTGCATTCTGTACCTACTGCCACTCAACGTACATTTGCATAATGGAACTCTAGTAGCCATTGTAACAGAGATTCAAGATGCCTGTATTTTATACATAAATAATTTTGTTCAGACACCCTGTTTAAGTAAAATGTTAGGGATTCGAAGCATTTAGTAAAAATTAAAAATATTATTATTTTTGTAGCAATAAGCTATTAATTCCTTCTGTGTCGGCTGTTTTTGGAAATGAGCTAAAAAAAGTCAGTTTTTTTATTTTACTTTTTGATGAAGTTCTTATATTTCTGCACAAAATGGGTCTAGATATATATTATTTCAGTGAAACTACATTTAAGAACTGGAATTAGTAGTTTTGTTTTGAGTTTACTTACTGATTATAAGCATTTATTTTATCACAAGTTACAGCTCTTACAGTAATGAATAATATTTTCTAAAATGGGTACAGTTGTACAAAGCATTTTGGACTCTATAAAATAAATACAAATATCTATACTTTGATAAGCTTAAATTATTTTATAGGATACAGTACTGGGTTAGGTTCACTGAACAAGTCTACTTTCCGCTAGACTCTGAACATTGTAACAGAGTGTATTAGGACTTGTCATCCTTCTCCATCTTTGCCATAAAACATTTTATCCTTGTTACCCATTTCTCTTTCCCACTAGTTTGTCAGAACCATGGAAATAACATATGTTCCTATATAAAACTGTTTTATTCTCTGTTCAGTTTTATATTTTAATAAAGACCATTTAAAGTGAAACTTTAATACTTTCCAGACAGATGAGTTTTCTCAGGTGTCAAGTGCAGTTTTATTTATTTATAAATTTTCAAAATTTTTTTTACTCATTTTGTCACATTTATTTAATGTAACTTGCAAAGCCAAATGGAAAAAAATAGTGAAAATTTCATTTCTGCACAGTTCCCAGGAGGTCTTGTCTGTAAACAACTTACTTATTGATTTTTTTAAGCATTTTTCTGCCCATTACAAAGCATAGGTTTTTATTTGTTAAGAAACTATCATTTCTTGATAATACAATTAATCAGTTCTTGTTTTTGCATTTTTCTGCCCACCCCAAATCATAAATTTTATTTGCTAAGAAACTACCATCCTTTGATAATACAATTAATCAAGTCTTATTTCTCTCACCATCTTCTTTCTCTGTCTGTTAATTTATTATTAGAGGCCTCTATTGATATGTTGTGATGTCATAAAAGGGTGAGAACAAATGCCAGTGAAGAACAGATTTTAAGAGTAAAGTTACCAGCAAAGTTTTAATACTATTAGATAGAGCAGTGCAAAGAAAATAATGTGGTGTGAGAAAGAATTTCTGGTTTTGTGAGAACAGTGGAATTTAGTACAAAGTTTGGAACACTTAGTAACAAATCTGGGAATATTTTATAAAAGGATGCACAAATGTATAAAAACTAGATTATTTTATATCAAGACTTCTGACAGTTTGTGTCCATTTATTGTGGATTTTCTTTATCTTAGATATTATTTTCATTCCTGATAATGTTTCCATGTTAAATTATATTTGGAAGTTATGGCAAGTCATGAGGTAAGCCTTGTTAGGATTAGAATGCATGTTAAGTGTTGTAGAAATATTCTGGTGATTAAAATATTA